AGGAGGATTATTGAATAAGAATAACAAGCTTACCAATATGTATGCTGGATTTTCTCTTTAGCGATAAGTTCTCTGTTTTTCAATTTCCCTTGTCTTCCTTTATCTATATTTTAAGTAGCGCTTCTTTACTTCCACCAATATCACTTGCTCTTCGCATCTGCATGGCGAAAACCTAACAGAAAAAAGGAACTTAATTGCTAATCCAAGGTAATTCGCGGCTCCAATGTATCCAAAGCGCTATATAATCACTACAGTTGGCGATTTGTGTAAATTAAATGTATTAATAACTCATGGCATAATACAGTCGCTTAAATTAGCTTAGTTAGAGGCCTCCAAAAATTAGCGAGCTAGGGGACTGTTTATGTCTTCTATATTTGAGTCGGTTCTACCAAAAATCCTTTCTTTCAGAATTTGGTATATCTGTGACATATATACTAAATTCTCCATTCTGAAACTAGTGCTAAAGCTTGTAACTACCAATTCCTGCATTACTGTAATAAGTCAATCAAAGCCTGCTGTGTCCTGAAATAGACGACGAAGATGATGTTATTTAGCCTCTTGAGGGCAATTTTAAGCTGATAATTGTGACATTCAAGTCAACAGAGAAGATATTCTTTCCGCAAATCTCAAAGATTCTCCCGGAATGCTGAACTACAAGTATACAAAGTTAACGTAATCCATAAAATACTCATTCATCAGTGGTCGAGTAGTACAATCGCTAAGCACTAATGGTACTTCGACCTAGGCTCAAATCTCCAAAATGGGTTGTTTCTGCACGTGTGTTTTCGTGGGTTTTTTTCATGCTTTTCACTTGTGCAACATAGAGGTGAGCATACAGGTGAGAAAGGTACATAGAGATGCAACACAGATGTGAGAAGGGATGCCTACTTGGAGACATCCCTTCTCATAGGCAGATAGCTCTCACTTGCTTTTTTGTAATCAAAATAAAGAAACATAATTAAAACTCCATAAGCAGATAGCCCTCGAGTTGATTTGCCTTAATTGACTAACCTAACTTAACCATCGACTTCTGGATTTATAGAAGCATGATTGTATAATAATGCTTGTGATTCCAGGAGATTTTTTAAATTTAGATTTTCTTGAAACCACATGATTTAGTAATGAAGTATGGTTTTTCATTTTTCTGGTATAAGAATTCCCAAAACAAGATATTTTGGTTAATCTAAAAGAAATTTATCTTTCGTAAAAGCACTGTACAGAGGAAAAGCAAGCATCTGGTAAGTATTATCAGCAAAAAAATTATCAAAGTATTTCTTTTGAACAAAATTTAAATTCTGAGGTTAACAGACAAATCTCTACGACATTTGTGGATGAAATCGATGGCAATGAAATCACTTAGGGCTATAACAATATGATGTGATCTGTTATACCTCTAAATAAGTACGTCATCACGAACGTTTTTGAAACCGATAAATTTCTAAAGACCTTTGGCCTTCTGTTTCACCAAGCCTTAGTTCACCCGAGGCTTTTCTTTTAAAGATTTCTTAAGGAAAGAACCTATACAACAAAAATTGTTAAATATAATCATAGACTATAGAGATAAGCATCAAAAAGGAAATCAACCACCCTGTATGCTTATAATCGCAATGCTACAAGTGCATATAACGTAAAACATAACATAATATGGAAGGGAAGGGCTGTTAGATTATATTAGAATTCAATCGAAGAACTCTTCTAAAGTCTCTTAGAAATAAAGAGAGGTTTACAACCTTAATCTTCTAAAATTTTAATAGATTTCAAAAGTTAAAAGACATTTGTCTCGAGATAATAAAAAAGTGATGTATTTCTGAAGTGGTTTGTAGTATGAAATGACAGGATCTCAAACTCGCAGGCGAATCACGGAGGTCAATGGACAGTAATGGTTATCTGATAAGAGAAAGGTACATTATTTTTCTATTACTGATTTAGTAAGTAGATAAATAAATTTTTGCATGGTTATGGGTGTTCAAACCTGTAATAAAAGGAGTTCATAGGGTAGGTTTAAAATTGGCTTGCTTTATATCCCTGCCCCAAGGTATCTAATAATATATTGGTAGCAAAATGAATATGAATGCAGGAAATAAATTTTTTAGATTCCCCCCCCCTACCATCTAGTATAGTCGTAGCACCTCGATAGGCCGGGAAATATGCAATAGAAATAGCTTAGCTTCTATAATGTTTTTAACAGACCGAATAAAATACACCTTAGTAGAATAACTATAGTGGAAGAAAACTTAAAATTAAGAAAGAAAGGAACAGCATAAGAGCTTTAAGAGCAAGTATTAAGAAAAATTAATTATTAAAAATAAATATATACAAATAAAATGAAATACACAAAATATCATTAAGAAAAATGAACAAAATTAAAAATTGTAACCAAGATCCAAAATGAAACAAGCCCCCCCTTTTTTTTTTTGCAAAATCTAAACAATTCAGTTACTTTTTTTGAGTTACCATCGTCACGTTTTCTTTGAATCTAAAATAGTTGACGTCCCTACTCCATATTCTACCGCAAATTTAGTTCAACACTTTTATCTGTTAACTATTATATTGATTTCAAAATTAATAACAATAAGTTACTAAAAATAAAACGACCACCTTCTTTTTCGATGGTATGCTAATTAAATAAAGGAGACTGCATTTTACCCTTAAACAGAAGTAATGTTCCATAATAAAACGTCATGCACAAAATAAATAAACAACGTGACATAAAACAATAATGAGCATGTACACAGGACGTCTCATAATAATATAATGATACAAACAAAGGGCAGGTAGGGCAAGTTAAAATGATTGAGAGTTGCATAGTAACCCATGACCGGAATGCCATTAGAAAATGGTATCAAAAGCACAAGAAATGAAAGGATACAAAGCAGATATTAAAGTATTTATTGCTTATAAATATAACGCATAATATTGTAGTAATTATACCGCAAGTGATTTATATAGAACAGCTTTAAGTGTTCCCCAAAGAAAGAAATCAGGGTTGTTAAATCAGGAAAACGTGAGGCATGGCAACCGGTCCACCACGCCCAATCCATCGTTCACCAAATGACGTATCCAAATGTCTCCGAACACATCTTCCATAATGGGGAGGCGCCTATCATGTTGAAACCACATGCTGCGTCTCAGATTTTGGGGACAGAGTGAAGTAAGCCTAATAGAACCCATTCCAAAAAGATAAAAGAAAACTTGCTTAAAGTGATACCCGTGAGCAGCACCACCTTGCTGCAAACACTGACGCTTGCGGTTATGGGTTACTATGCAGCTCTCAGTCCCTTCAGTCGGCCCTATCTGCCTTTAAAGTTTGTATCAATATTTATAGGACACCCTGTATAAAACGGAATTGCTTTTCCATTAATGTTTATAAACTATGTAGTCAACCAACATTGCAGGCCAATTCCCTTGTCGCATACTTTCGTCTAAACTAATTTGATAGCTCTTATGCGAAGAGACTTTGCATTATCTTCTTTTATCATTTATTTTATTTCTTGAATATATTATTTAATTGCAGGAAAAAAATAAACGGCGTGTAGATAAATTAACAATAAGCTTAAATTTTGCTTGGCCAAGAAAATAAGAACCAGCGATCGGGATAACTGGTATTCCGGGTAACAGAATTTTGAATGAAAGCAATTCTAATGCATACTTCTGCTTTAGTAAAACTTTTTTTTTTTTATGGCCGGGAGCTTTACTTAAGAGCCATTAGCCTTGCGCCACTATAAGCGCTGGTAGGGGTGGCCATTTCATTATGAAAGCATCTAAAGGGTGGCTACCATTGCCTCCTAGGAAGAGACGGACAATTACAACCATGCTTTCTCCGGGATTCGAACCCGGGCCCATCGCTACGGCAGTCAGGGTCAGTAACTACTATGGGTTGGGCGGCTGCTTTAGGAAAACTATACATATATTTTCAGGTCATTTAAATGATATCATGCGTTTCGTTTGAATAGTAAAAGTTAAAATACTACCATGTTGTCAAAGAGAGTCTAAGTTAATGTTTTTATTAACTTAGATACTTATTCAATCAACACTCGTGTGCAAAATTAATAGAATATGCAAATGATGCCTGTTTTTATGAAAACTATTGAACCAAAGGCGCAAATTATCCCACCGAAGAATGCTTCGAAGGGGTGCAGTTGGTCTTGAGTTCCTATTAATGGACGACAACGGTCGTCCACGTATAGCACAGCTGGTCGACGATTACCTGGAAAGTGAACACATTCATTGCATGGACTGGCAAACCGCATTTCCTGACCTTAATCCTATACAGCATGTCTGGGATGCTCTTGGGAGGGCAATTTCATCTCACCATCCTCCTCCGATAATTATCCCAGAGTTGAAAAGTCCCTTACTACAGGAGTGAGATCGACTATCCCAGGGACTCCTCAGCTGCCTCCTATCCAATGCTGTCACGCTGCGCTATATGTCAGACTGTGAGCGAGAACTATACCCCCCCATACTAGACTTATTTTGCTATAGATATTGCAACGTGGATTTTGGATATTCCTGCAATACGATAGTCATGCGTACATAGCGACATTTGAATAGTGCGTCTTTTCCTCTGTTATAAATGTACATTCACACGAAATTACATTAGGATCTTCCCGTTAGGTTTTCAGAAATTTGACATACTGTGCAAATTCTTATAATTTTGAACGTGAATGTATATTTAAGTTCATGGACAAAATGAATTCCTTAGAGATGACTAGTTTAATTCCATCGACGTGTTTAATTTGAGGACTCATACTCGTTTTAAGTGTACTGCTAATATTGAGTGCCTTAAAACCCGCCCTTTTCAAAATCTGTTTTAAAACTGTTTGCTTAGACAAATACAGCATTTTAATTCCGTAAAGATAACATATGAACAGTTCCTAGTATTACAGCATTTTCAAGCACTCAAAACCTATTGCCATTTATGTGTATAATATTAAATCTGATAAATGTTTTGAACTTTCAGTTTAATACCTTCTTATAAATCATACTTGAAATTTCATTAGGTAGCTGAATGTAACCTGGTAGCTGTGTTAAATTTGAAGTGAAAGGATTTCAATAAATTTCAGTATGTCTTGTGTCAAAGAACAACCTTTGATTACAAACGTAGATCTGCAGAATCAATCTGTGGAGATTCCGGTATGTATTAGTTTTCTTTTCAGATTCATTGTTAGAAATTTTGAGAATTTAAATGTGACGTTTCCTTACTTTCGTAATATTGACACCATTTATAATTAAAATTAAAGGTCAAGTTCCCTTTTACAGGGAACTAGACTGAAAGACTTGCCAAGAGAATTACTCCTGATATTTAGAATTTAAAACAAAAAAGTCACGTACTGATTATTAATTTTAAAATATTCGTAACAATCATTAGACTAAATTACATTCAAAGTGTGTTGTGGCATAGATTAGAAATAAATTGGCAAAAAGAATTTAAATTTTTTTTCATTATATCCTATAGAATCGTTTGCATTGAAAAAAAGAATATTTTTTTAAGGACGGATTTAAAAATTCTATCAACAAAAAATAGTTGAAGTTAATTTAAGATAGTTTATCTAAAATGTATACAAAGTATCCGAGTTATTCCTAGGGCAACTTTCATTTACCTGTATACAGCGATATTATTGAATTTTTTGCTTTTTAATGCGAAGGAGTATTCATAAAATTCTTTTTGAAAACAGTGTATACTGCTTGCCATTAAAATTGCAGCACCAGGAAGGAATGATCTGAAGAACGTCAAAATCACATGAAAGGAAGAAGTTGGAATATGCAAATGATAGCATTTCAGCGCATTTAGACGACGCAGGAGGAAGAAACAACATTTGAAGCAATGCATAAAACAAAAGTTCTGTAGTGGATTTCTCATCAGAAAAGTGCTTTGTAAGGTTGGAGTTTGCTCAGAATATCGTGTTATGCATCGAATAAGAAGAGGAAATGTTTACCAGCAAGTTTCGAAATTCTATAGAGGCAAGATCGTTTCTAAGTGTAGATTATCATTCCATGATATTGCCGGTCGCACTGGCCGACATCCAACCACTGTCATGCGAATATAGAATAAATGAATTGCTGAGGGTCATACTGAAGGGCATGCAGGATATTAACGACCTCTCATGACTAACACCAGAGAGGACTGACCTATTGTGAGGTCAGCCCTGCAAAACCGTACAACCACATCACGGACCATTAGTCATGAAATGGGCATGTTTGCAGCACACCCAGTATCAGCTCGTAAGGTGCTTCGACGTTTGCAGCAGCATGGACTATCAGCGGGGTGACCATTACTTCGGCTTTCCTTGGCAATGCAACATAGACCGAGATGGTGACTCTGGTGCGTCAAACGATAAAGCTGGGTGCAGGAGTGTCACAATGTCGTCTTTTCAAACGAGTCCCGGTTCTACTTGCAGTATTCTAATGGCCGTACACGTGTCTGGAGTGTCTAAGGAGACCGCACGTAGCCTATTTGCATTTGATATCTGCATAGGGGCCCTGCACCTATTGCGATGGTTTGGCAGCCATTGGGTACACGACACGCACATTGCCTAATTAGGATCGACGGTAACTTGAACGCAGATGGGTACATTTCTGACATCTTACGTCCAGTGGTCGTGCTTAAACTTCGAAGCTCCCAAACGTCATGTTAAAACAAGATAATGGAAGACCACACGCTGCACGTTATGTTCTGACCTTCCTCGATACACATAGTATTCGATTGCTGCCCTGGCCTACACAGTCTCCAAGTCTGTCACCCATTGAAAACATCTTGTCATACGGTGCTGAGAGACTGGCCTGCCACCCCTCTCCAGCTAATACGATTGGTGAACTGTGGCATGGACGTGATGCAGCATGTAATGAGTTGCCCACTTCTATCATCAAAGCCCAGTTTGACTCCATGCCTAATGTGGTAAGGGCCATTTTAGATGCCAGAGGTGGCAGCTGTTTCTACTATTTTCGCACCCGTGTAGACCTCCAAACTGTTTATAAATTTAATGATTTTGTCTTCATGCTATATTGTTTATGTGCGATGAATATCTCTTTTGTATTTGTTTTCCTTCATGGTGTTTCAATTTTAATGGCCGGCAGCGTCCTTCGGTTTCTTCACTGTTTAATAAAACCCTTAATAAAGAGGAAATAAACAAATCTTCGATATTTAATAGTTGTTCACTTAGGCATAGCTTTTACCGTGATTTTGCAAAAATTACGCACAGATCTTTACCAATTGGTGAAGCAGAAAATTTTAATATTCATAAAAATTTAGCTTCCACAGTTAATGGAAAATTAATTTCAATCTTGTTCTTCCCAACGCTTTCAAAATTAAAATATTTAGATTTTGCGCATTTTAATTGTTTTCCTCGATAGCTTCTCAACACTTTAAAAACTATATTTCGGCTTATGCACATTTCAATACTGTTTTTCTCGACGTTCCTTTTTATCTGCAATCTGTTATTTTCCGTGCAAATATATTATTGCTCCTCCCACATTTGAAATTTTTAATATCCTTCTGATGAAGAAAAGCATTTGTCAAAATACCCTGGAAATCATTAAAGTTTTATTTAAAATATTTGCTGAATTAAAGTTGCTTTATTCCCTAATTTTAATTTTTAATGACTGTAGTTAAAGAACCAAAAATTGTCTTAAGACTGAAACTATTTTATTCATCAAATTTCGAATTAATTTTATGATTACTTTTAATACATATAGTTGGTTAGAACTTAAATATTCTGAAGGTTTTCTTACTTTAAAGTCAGTTTATTAAGTTTAATAGGATACCGCTACATCTACAAAATAATTTATTAAATTTAAATTTTAATATGATTATTTTAGAATATTCATTAATAAGGGTCATTAACTACATGTTTTGAAATATTGACTTACGGCTCATGTAACTATAAAAATATTTTTTTTAAATAGGATTCTGGAGGCATCCGTCAATCTAAACTCGTTCCTTTAGGGAAAACAATTGACTTTCTCTATGATGATGTTAAAACACTTTTGCATGCCATGCAAAAAGGTTGCAAATTATCAGGTAAGATATGGTAATAGATATGTTTAAAATGCTTTCAGTCCCAAAAAACTAAAAATATTCTTTTCGGAATCGTAGAGTTTTATAGGGAACAAATTTTAAGCAAATAAGTATATTTACAAATTTAATACATCTCCTGATATTTAGTAGAAACACTTGGCTAAATGTTTAGTCTCACCTATTGAACCATAAAAATAGATGAAATAAAATTCATTTACTACTCAGTTCAAAATGAAAGACTCGGTCATTAAACTCTAATCCTAAATATGGTTAATGCAAAGCTCAGGAACATCTCTTAATAGCTAGATAGTTGTAAAATAATAAATTACACTTAATATAAGGTTTTCAAAGCAGAAACTAGATATTCTTTCATCGTTTTTTCCCTTTATATAAAATTATTCTTCTTTGTCTGGATAAAATGGCACATATATCATAAATGAGAGAACCAAGAAAATTTAACTAAAATTGTTACTGTTTAAACATATAGGATATCCCAAGAAAAATCGCTATGAAACTTTGAGGCATGATCCCAAGTACGTAAACAAAACAATAGGGGCAATTTCGGGTATTTTCTCAATCACCTGCAAGTACCAAAAGAAAGCGTAAAAAGCGGAGCGCTGTCCCGCAATATTTGTAGCTATACTGCCAGCTAAAATATATCAGCGAGTTAAAAAGTTAGAACATCGTTTCGAGATAATGCACATTCCTCTAAGTACCATGCTTGTCCTACGATAGTGACTATTGCATTGGGTAATATGAGACAACGCCTGTTAATGTTCAAACATTATATGTTTCTTTAAACAACTGCCACTTTAAGATCATCTTCTCTTCCCCGGTTTGTCTTTTAACGACCACCGTGCCAGAACATTTGAATCCCTTAATTTTTTTCCTCCACTTCCATTTAGTGTGTTTCAGTTCTCGAAAGGCGATAGAATAAAGGCTGCAGTCTGAAATGAGGTGGAGAAAAATAACTGCAGTTGGTTGATGACGATAGGCGTTACGATGGTAAATGTAGGGAGTATGAAAAAAGACCTTGAAGTTCCTAATTTAATGTAACTGGACTTAGCATTTTGTGTTTTAGCATAATGAGTATGTTGTACTTATATTGTAGTACGGAGTGCATACAGTAGAATGGCATTAGTTACGGAGGTGACGTAGAAGTACCTAACAAATGATATTGTTTCAATGGGCATTTCAAAGGCGCATTGCACAATAATTTTTTATTTTGCCAGAGCACCAAAATCCTTAACAGTAGCTTGAAAATACATGATAGCAGCACCAAAACTGAATAAAATTTTACAGCTTTTGAGCCAGGTGGTACAATGAAATATAAATTGACACGAATTTGTCAGCATACGTGCATGAAATTCTAGGAGGCAAGAAACACGAGACTTATTGAAAACTGAATGTCTCAAACCTAACAGGTCACACTGCGTTTTCCGATCTATGATTTCAAATGCTGAGAAAGCGATCGAAATTTTATACCTCTGTCTGAGGTTGTGGACTATTAACGTTTCGTGCTGATTATCTTGAGGGAAGTACAGAAAGTGAAAACGTAGCGTTACAAGATACTTCTTTTAACAAAGGGCTGAGAAATATATTTAAAAAATTTCTTTGTTAAAGATGCTTCTTCTAGATAATTTCTCTGATATTTTTGAAAAACAAAATAGCTAATTAATTATATATAATAAGATCCCTAATATATGTAATATAAATGAAGTATCTTACTGTTGTTAATTAGAAAAATCTCTTTGAACAATCTTTATAAACTTTTCCAATATGAAAAATAATTACTTAAATATGTTCAAAATATGCATTATATGTTCTAAACCAAGAATTTTATTTTTTGTAACAGGTGATGGACCCTGTTTAGGTTACAGAAATGGCAATTCTGAATATATGTGGATATCTTACAGTGATGTATGTAATAGTTTTATGGATATTTTCAATTTATATGTGAATTATATGCTAACTGAGTTTAATGAACCCCTTTCCACTTTGTCAGGTAATCAGAAGAGCAAAAACCTTTGCCTCAGGATTGTGTCATCTTGGTATGCGACCTGGACAATCGACTTACATTGGAATTTATTGTTATAGTAGAGTAGAGGTAAGAAAATACCTTAAGTTTAAATGCCGACATATTTCCTGTTTACTCGTAATAAGTTCATAAAGATATTTTTGTAGTGGCAGCAGCTGCAATAAGAAGGTTCTGGAAAAGAAGAATAGGATTCATTTTCAGAAGGAAGAGATTATTAAGTTTTAATATGAATTAATTTAATCAGAACAGAAACGAGAATGAAAGCAAAAAAAATAATGTTTTAAATATTGATGAAAGTTGTTCTTCTGCATTTATTTTTTCTGCTTTGGAGACCTTAACATTAAGCTAACTGCCCATTATCTTCAGACAAGCGAGAATAAAAACCATGAAATTAATCACTAGTGTGCAAAATTTGAGCAACAAATTCATTTTTTCAACATACAACCAACACAGAAGAAAGGTGATGCATATGCAAATATCACCACCATGACGTCAGAGGGTACCGTCAGGGCAATTAAAACGCGAGGCGTGAGCGCGCGCCGTGCAAGAAACTCAAAAAAAGTGGGGGAAAGGAAGGGGAATTTCCAAGCATTCTTTCTGCAAGCGAAAGTGATATTGTCATATTGTACTGCTATAAAAAAAACATCAGGACGCCTTTACACGTAGTAGAATGAGTGACAAGATTGAGTAGAGGCATAGTTTGACGTTTATTACCTAAGAATTTAAGATTGATATAAGTATTGTTTTACGAGCTAGGAAGGCCTTCTAAACGGTGACATAACTATAAGAAAGGTTGGTGATGATCGGCCAAGGAAAGTAACCGCGATCGGCGACTAATGACCGATATTTCACTCTACAGGCGAAGAGAGATTGAAACCCGATAGCTGGCAACATTCCTCAGCAGTTGTGCACGGCAAGTGGATAACAGTTGTTCCGTTTTACTGTGCCCAGGTGACTTCATAAAGGAGGCCTATTTGTACGCTGTCCTAAACGCTGCATACATTTGGCAGCAACCCTTTCGTGGCAGCGTTTTCAGAGGAGTACATAACACAAAGTTTGGATACTCGTCAATGGAGTCACATCCTCTTTATCGATGAGAGTCGTTTCAGTCTGATAAATGATTCTCGATGCCAGTTGATATTCAGGAAGGTAGAGATACGCGTTTTCCCATTAACATCACGGAAAGAGACTGTTGGGGGTGGTCTTGGTGTGCTTTTAGGAGGGAGGCACTATGATGAACCTCATTTTCGACAAAAGTTCACTTACCGGAGATCATTACTGTGATGAAATTATCCTCCCCTTAGGAGCGCCTTTTCCGAGATGCCACTGGCTCCAACTTTGTTTTTATGGAAGCCAATGCAAGTCCATACAGGACTCTTACTACTCAGTAGCTCCTGAATTGAAGATATCCACAGAATGGATTGGCCAGCTTGTTCCCCTGATATAGTAAATACCACTGAACATATGTGGAATACTTTAGGGAGACGCTTAGGGGCCCGGTTGTTCCCTCGGTAGAACACTGGACAACTGGAACAGATGCTCCTTGAAAAATGGGAACTTTTACCCCAAGAAATGTTAGGTAATTTTGTTTTGAAGTATTGACACATGGTGCAATATTACTATTGCGGTTAGGGGAAGCCATTTCCTTACTAAGGCTCTTTGGTTTGTTGTTATTGCTCTCGGTCAGACGTTTCTGTACTAAAGCCATTTTGTCAATAAAGACTCTTTTTATACGTTAAAGACTGTATGCGTCCTGTTAAATTTTCTGCTAATATACTTTCCTCATCTTTTAAGTAGTATATTATGCTTCTGTGGAGTGGCTTTCATGTCTCCCAGTTGAAAGTTTTGGAATTAGGGTCAAAATAAGAAAAGGTGTTTACGTTTTGCACACGAATGTATTGATACTTAATATTTGCTATTCATCTTTATTCAACTTGTTTTAGTTTGTTGATCTTAAATTTGAGTTCACTGCGCATTATCTACAGACAAACGAGAGTGAATAACATGAAATTAACATTTTAAACACCGATGAAAATTGTTGTTCATCTTTCTTTAATTTTGTTTCAGTTTATTGACCTTAACATTGAGCTAAATTTGCACTATCTATAGACTCCTTTTTATACAATATAGTATTTTAAGTAGAAGCAAACCTTTTTTAAATTTCTAAGAATCTGATTGACAGTACTTAACCTGTTAGAAAGCTCTCTTATTTTGCATCGTGAGCGCATATCTAACTTTAACCTGTGTTCTACTAAAACATGATTATTACTTATGCCACCTTTTATATTACTATCGAATACGTTTCCGGTTGCCACAGCTTTAAAATTTTATTTCAAAAATACCTACTTCAATTTTTAAAACTTTACTTCTATTTATCTTATATTCATATTTGATATTTGACCATAAATAAATAAATAAACAATTAAATAAATTTTAACAAAATATCAAAATAAATAACGTTGAAATTATACCTCTGCTTTAAGAGATTTTCTACGTAAATGCTATTTTTCAAGAAGGTTAAAAGTTTTGCTGATGGATTTTTATTAAAAGTCCGGGTTTCGATAGACGGTGAAATGAAATTTTTGTAATAAAGCATTGAAAGAAATTATGGAATTCATCTGTTCCATGCCTTGAGGTTAATGTATAATATAATTTATTAGGTTATGAAATTAACAAGATCCGAGAGAATTGCAAGATCCGAGGTTCCAGAGAGGTCTTAAATGATGTTTCACACGTTTGATCTAAAGAGGCTAATATTTTATGAAAGATTCATAAAAAATATTTTGGTTGTATATGTTTTCTTTCCACGAAACGAAATTGATGCAATTGCGTTTTTTTTTACTCTTTCAGTGGGTACTGACAGAGTACGCCTGCTATAACCAATCAGCAGTAACTGTTCCTTTGTATGATACATTAGGACCAAATGTGTGCTCTTTTGTCATAAATCAAGGTAAGAAAATGATAGAACTAATGTTAGTGACTCTTCTTTAACTAATTTTGTAATTTTCCTCTCACCTTTATGTCCTAGCAAATAAAATTGAAAATTAAGATTGCGAAATACATTTTCGCACTTTAAGCATTTAATTTAAGAGCAAAAAAATTAGCTATGTATTGAAAAAGAAGTTATTTGCTTGATAATGTTGCACAATTTAAACAAATTAAAATCACACACCACGATCCTTCTGTGGTTTAAAAAAACAAATTATTGTGCGAAACTTAATATAATATTACTTATTGCTATGTTAAATTGTTTATCATTTGTAACACCATGGAAGAGTACAGCAGGAATTCCTTATACCATATAAGAGTAACACGTACTTTTAAAAACTGCTTTATAAGTTTGATCTACGTAACAGCATGTTCAAATCTGAAGAGATACCTTAGTTTAAGAATTAGGTTCTCCATTTTCAGTTGCATTTGTAAATACTTCGATTTACAGTCCTTTATGAAAGTGGTAATCAAACAGTGTTCCTCGGAACCTTGGAATTTTGTGCAACTTCACAAATGGTTTGGAAAATGTCAAAGAAATTTAAAATCAAAATCGATTTGCTTAAATGAAACATGGACAGCAAATCTAAACACACAAAATAATTAAGTATATAATAGCGTTTTTATTTTTCTTAGCTACTTAAAATAGTATGATGTAGATCTGCTCTTTATGGGTAAAATTATTATGGAATAATGATCTTTTATTATCCACTTAAAGTGTATGTAAAGTTTCATTTTTAGTGCTTTTTTAATATTTAGGTTTCTGAGATAAAAGTGTTAACGATTAAAAAAATATCTGGGTTCTTTGATTCAACAAAATTTGAAGATCGCCGCTTCTTGCAAACATGTTGCTCAACAGAAATGTTTGCAAGAAGCGGCAATCTAGGAGCAAGACAGTAGTAGGTGTTCGTTTATATTTTCCCCAATAAAAAATGGAACATCAGCGAATAAAAGAGCTCACAGTTTTTGAAATATTTATTTTAGGCAAAATGCATTAGTTTTTATGGTTCACATAATCATAAAAACTGCCCAGGATGAATTTTCGTAAGTCGAAATGCAATCAGAAAAGGTTCAAGACTGTTAAAAACGCTCTTTGATATTAAAAGTGTATTAGTAAGGAAATTAATTACGCATGAGCTGGCTAATGATAATTTAATGTGATATATTTAGTACACCGAATCATGTAAACTAAATTAATCTTAGTCTTAGTTATCTTACTCTTAGTGGGAATAAGAATCCCTTCTTATAATAAGATATGTAGTAAATTCAAATTTGAGGAAACCTATTTCAGACCGTTTGCACTAAATTCCAGTGAATATGAATTCTAACAAGCAGACTGATACTTGGTAAAATACTCTAATATTATATTTTAAAGATTTTTTTCTATCTTCAGGCGCTTGTTGGGATTAATAAGAATATCATTTGCATATTTTCGACCATTTCACTGAAATCAAATCTTTCCTAATAAATAGAAAACTATACTGGAAATGTAAGCAAGTTATACCAATTATTATTACTTCTGTAATGATAATTATAAAAAAGAAAAATAATTTTTTTGAATTAATTATTAAAGATGATGTTTAGGAATTTCACCATCTACCAATGAATCAGAGAAGATATATCACATTATCTAATGATGGCCGCATATACATGAGTAAAGTACAGCTATGCATTAATGCCCTTAAAATTTTCATAAAGACTTGAGAAATAGTTGACACAAGCTCAGTAGCTATTTAAGAGGAATTCAGGCATGTTCATATGCAGGACATTGATATGTAAAGAACGAAAAACGAAAGCAGAAAATTTTTGTAGGATGGATAGTAACATCTAAGAAACATCTGTCGGACTTTACATTTGCTCCAACTTCCTTCCACTTGCAGGAAGAATTGGCAGAATGTCTCATTTGGCATCGATCAGAGTCTGATTTTGGGTGGTTTTCAAGAGCTTGCATTGTTTGAAAACATTCTTTTCGTAAAGCTATTTTAATGGAAAAGATGGCGGGATCAAAAGGTGAGAAATCTGAGAAATAAAGTGATTATGGTAGAAAATTATCTGTTTCCGATCAAGGACATCCAAGCTTCTTTGTTCAAACGAATACTTGAAGGGCACAGATAATTAAATTTACAGATAATTTAACCCTGCTTGCATTTCAGCATGAGCTACTCTGTCCCACAGTGCTCTTTGTGCATATAACTTCATGCACGTATTATTACCGCCTATAGATTACCATGTGATTCTAAGTCGTCTGAGTGCACACTACGCATCTAAAGATCTGTTTTACTGGTACTGAAACATCCTGCACTTAAAAAGTACTTGGATCGTAGGAATAAGACTTAATTATTTTATCTTAGAAATCAAAAATGTTTCATGAAATTTGGTCAAACCCTTTAGTTTATGTGGAGCTTTGAACTAATACAGAAAGTAATCACCAAATCTACATCCATTTTGCCTATATCCGTTGTTTTGCTAAAATGTTTCATTTTTAATGATGTAATTAAAAATTGGGAGAGCTCCGATAGCATGTTATATAGATAGTATTTATTTTGTTGCATATTTTACATATTTTAGTATATTCCTTGAGAAGCTGAATGACATTTGAACTTTTCCTTTGGTATTTTCAGTTGCAAGACACGTAAATTTAATGTAAAAATGCACTAAATATTTAAATTAAATTTCACTAAATATTTAAATTAAATCACTTTTTTAATCTGTTTTCTAATAAAGTTTCATATTTTCCCTATTAGCACATAAATTTTTGATGCTAGAATCTCATAATTTTAAAATAGTCCACTGCAGCTATTCCGCAGAAGGAGTATCAAAACTTAAATAATTTTTTAATGTTGAGACAGAAAAAAAAGAGGAATGGTGATTATTTTAATATTCTTCGTAGAAAATAGCCTGGTTATTTAAGGATTATTTGGGTTGCATAAGACCGAAATAAACACTTTACGAGTGTTGTGTGATGTTATGGTTATTCAATGCTGGTGCATTTGGCGATGGGTTTTGTTTGTGGAAAATAGTAGATACGTGCGTAAGTACTGAAAATTGACTGTTATTATTTAGGCATTTAAAATTGCCAGTCCTGGTTCAAATTGCCAGTTTGTTGCCGCTTTAACAAAGGATTACCGATTATATCTAAACTGTTTCTGATAAATACCCTCCGCCTTTTACTGTTTTTATATATTTATACTTGTATTTAGCTCAGATACAGATGGTTGTCTGTGACAATGAAGAGAAAGCCAGGATTCTATTGGAAAAAGCTGAAACAACTCCTTCTTTGACGCATATTATTAGTGTAAACGAAGTCAGTTTGGACATAAAAGATCTGGCAAATAGAAAGAATATTAATCTTCTTTCATTTCACGAAGTTGAAGTACGTATTTTGACTTTCTTTTGTAGTCATATTATCTTCTAATTCTTTGATTGTCATATCTATTCATCTGATTGTACATAATCGTTAAAACTGATAAATTTCGTTAAAATCATACATGCAGTAACACATTGTTGTGAGATCTAAGCATTAAACTCAGCTGCTTATAACAGGAGACCTTAATTGCTCTAGGATAATCACTACTGCTTATCAAGCTTAATTATAATACGTAAATAATTCCGTAGTCACATTGCATTTAAATCAACTCAGTTAAGCAACGGCTCATTTTAATTTGAAAGATAAAGTCCTTATGTCTTGTCAAATGACAGCAACACTGAAAACTTGTAGTTAGTCACGTGAATGGATTAATATACATTGGTAGTAATGTAATGTAAGAGTAATGTAAAGCGTTACTAAAAATGGGAAATTAATTCATACATATTTCTAACATCAAAACACAATTACAAACTAAAGACCTCTACTATTTGCAGGCAAACAAACATATAACTACAAAAGTAGTGACAGTAATTATGCATGATTTAACATCTGACCAAGTGTTCTACTTTGAAGCAGACCATCAGTGGATCGTGAATAAGAACCTTGAAAATTGGTAGTTCGACTCGGATTCAAATTCCAGCGATCAGGAATGCATGGGAACTTCCATGTTTCCACTTCATGCGCTTTGCCTTTATCAATTAACCTAACTTAATCTAACCTACTCTGAAACAAGTTATTTGGTAAAAATTTTAAATAAATATCAAACAACAATAAAAAAGTCTAGAAATTTTAGATACAGTTTTCAAGTCATTATTACATCAAAAACTCCAGACCTCTATAATCATTTTCTTTCCTGCTGAAATGAATGGATTCAGAAACATACGCTTTATTAGATGTAGAGTTATTTTTATGGTTCTAAAATATGTTTCTTGCTTATTTGTCTCAGAACTTCCTAATTCTCTTCCTAATTCTCAGAACATAATTCAGAAGGTTCTGGTGCAGTTTACTCAGATTGAACAGATCATACAAAAAGGTACAATATTCATTTAGTTACAGTATTGTTAGTTGGGGTTAGTAAATAATTATTCTGAAGTTAAAAGAACGAAATATACTTTTGCATAGCTTTTTGAGGTTATGAATCATTACAAAATACTAAGACGTTGTAGACACAAGGAGCCTTTTGAAATTCAATTTTACCAAAACGGCAAAAATCGTTGATGAGAGATAAGTAATAAATTTGCAGGTTCTTCATTTCGGAGGTAAAATTACAATGAGCCTTTCAAGATATTTACCAGCTATTTCAGATGTCTTCCATAAAGAACGTTTCTAAGGGAAAGTGCTTCGTATTTGCGTAGTATACACTCAGTATAGGTACATACGCATGGTTACGAGGATAAACCACGGGAAAGGCCATAACTCCACCACGTTCACTGAGATCCGAACCTCTGTCCAGTTACAACTGTTTTAGTTCCTGTTAGGTAAATCGCACATTAAAATCACGTCTTTAAAGTTAGCTGAATTTATTTTAATGGGGAAAGGTATTATGCGTATTCTATACCTGCACACTTTATTTAATCATTGGAAGTGTATAACATTTTCACCTAAGAATGTCTTAGGCATGTAACAGGATCGCTTAAATATCATTTTTAACAGCATTTCTGTATTTTATGCATCATAGATATTAGAAATCTTCTTTCGTAACACATAAAATTACATATTTTAAGTGGGGACTAAAATTTCGATGATGAAGAAAAGAATTCTATATATGAATGACAACCTGAAATACAATACAGAGTGTTACAGAGTTTATCGACTGAAGTTTTCAAGTTCCAGATTTCAGTTGCGAAACTTGAAGTAAGCTTATGCCATAAAACCTTTTTGCTATTTTCATGCCTTTTCCCGTACATAACATTTCAAATTATAGACTAATGGAAATGTCATGTTTCTTGAAAACAACACTTGTTCTTTCCACAGACAATCGATACAAATTTATTTTCTGGCAGCCCGTACACACTATCAGCGGATATTTAAAAATTCTTCTTCATTTCTTTGGTTCACTTTTAAATATTCCTTTGCTAGACAGAGAGTACGCCTGTTAAATAATTTAACATTCAAATATTCGAAAGCATTTTTTCTTTTACATAGCCCTTACATTAATTAATAATGGTTGCATCATACGAAAATAATTCAAAAAGTAAAAACAAATTTCGAGAAATTTATAATTTAAAAGACTTGCTTGAAATTACCGTATTACTTGGGATTTAAGAAGTCCTCAAATTTAAGGGGACTCATACACCTTAAACCCCTCATGATCTTCGAATATGTGACTGTTGCAAGAATTGGGATATTTTGTTTATTTTAAAAGCAATTACTTCCAACTTTTTACAGCTGACTAAATAATATAGCTGCTTTGGAAACTAGTAGCCAGAAAGTTTGTGTTGCCACAAATATTTTTGTAATTTAATCCTCTTTGTGACAAAATATTTCGCCTTGCGCGCATGATATTTTAAAAATGCCTAATGGTACATACTTTAAATTTGATGGAATTCTTTATATGGGCACTATTTTCTAATTGAACCAACAATCTGATGAATATTTTAATATTGAAAAATTTTATGGGCGAAAACATTAAAAATTTTTTTAATAAAATACATTTTATAAACTCAACTCAAAAAAAAATTTAACATGAAATTTTTTAGAATTTTAGGTTCACAGTAGTTTCCAATTGTTATAAAAGCTATATATTAAATATGGAATTAAATTATGAAGCAGAATGTTTTAAACTGTGCGCGCAAGTTGGAAACATGACGAAAAATGTTGTCAGAAAGCGGATTAAAGTATAAAAATATTTGTGGCAACACAAACTTTCTGATTACTATTTCAGAAAGCAGCTATATTATGTAGTTAGCTGTAAAAAGTTGGTAGTAATTGCTTTTAAAATAAATAAGTTATCCCAGTTCTTGCAACGGTCACCTATTCGAACATCTTATGGGTTTTAAGGTGTACGAGTAACCAGAGACAGCATCTACGTTCAAGATCAGCTCCAGGAACCAACACCAGAAGGCACCAGGTTCAACCCCCAGCTAACCCTAAATCTCGATTTTGGACTTACTTTCCACGACTGACAAAAGATGGCGCCACTCAAGCGACTTCAGTTTCTACATGCACTTTCAAGAAGCTTTCTCATCTTTTCCGCTGCTCATCTTCACTTCAGAGAGCGACAAGTTAAGCATTTTTTTTCTTCTCTTTTCTCTTCTAGCTCCCTCCTGACGACCTCCTGCTACAGGATTCACTTGAGTTCTCGAAAAAGCCAGATCCTTCGGGAGTTCTCTCATTGCTACTGGGAAGTAGTAGAAACCCAGCAAACCAACTTAGTATTTTATCTACGAGACATACTTCCTTGGATTTGAATAATTTAAGCAGTAACTTTAGATCCGCGACTTGGGTGGATGACGACCCCACGACACTTTCCTTTCATGTATTTTGCACTGTGTGGATTACTGCAGAACTGTGTGTGATTTAAATATGTATTTATGTGCTTTGCTGTCTTCATCTATTGAATTAGGTGCTTTTATTTTATTATTTCGACTATTGTTTCCAAGAAGTACTGCCTGAGTTTTAACTCTACTCTTCAGCAGCATAGGCTAGAGTCACTACTTGAGTGGGTGACTTCCCACGTGATCCATGTAACCGACAATCTTGTATATTACACTCTTGTAGATTAGAACATGTGTTGTAAATGTGTATATATGCTTTATTACTCAAGAAGTTTTTATCATTTCTTTTACTGTTGCGCCCATATTAATTGCTTTGAAATTAGTAGGAATGCATATGCTTCTCATTCTTATTGCCAAGGAGAAACTGCCCACATGCATCACGTGACTTCTCAGTTCAACATTTGTGAATTGTCACCCTGTTTTCACTGGACGTCGAATATTGAACTCTCCTTTTCACCCATGATGACATATTTTTATTAATTATTTAATTATTGTACGACTATTTTTATGGAAAGTTCCAGAACTGCTAAGTGGGGTTTTTTTTTTTAGTCCAAAGGGATTTGAATCCCGGAGGACTATTAGTTTCGTTTTGGCATTTTGCGTCGGACGGATAAATGTCGGTTCACTTTTCAAACTGTTGCCATAAAATTTTAGAGTCCTGCATTATATTTGAAGAAATTAAATAATGAAAATCTGCGTAAATGTATGTATATTTCTCACATTGTCATAAAACAACGGTACATAGAGTCATCGAATTTTGAATAACGTAATCCTCCAACGAATATGAGCATGTGGAAGAGCAAATTTGAAATTTGAAATTTGTTTTATGATCGATTTCCTATTTTTAAAACTTTGACCAATTTTTGATTAAAAACTCAAGGATTTCAAAGCGAGCAATGGCAACGTTGTGCAGAAAAAACATTTTTATCTCCAGCGCGTGAGTCTCTGTATCGGAAATTCTAAAGATATGCTCGTTTTAAAACTATTTTGCGATATTGCTGTTGCACTGGATCTTATGGTTTAAGTGCGAGGAACATGATATTTAATAAAGAAAGGTAACACACAAAATGTTAAAAAACGCCCCTTTGGACGTAATTTAAAATCTGAAACATTTCAGATTTTTTTTTTTTTTTTGGTAAAACAAATTTTATTAACCTAGCATCGATCTTGTGTGCCTTCAATCTATTACAAACCCGTCCACGCAACATTGTTTTTACAGACGTATAATAACAGACTGATAATGTGAACTATGTTGTTGATTACCTACGAAATATTTCTGACGGTTCTACAGTAGTTTCTGATTTCTTGTTAGGGTTTACTGTTGTAAGCGTAAAAAGGAAGCTGTCAATAATTTTTATATATATTTCTACCGACATTGATTTTTTAAAAGGAAAATTTATGCTATGAGAACACGTGATGATTTAATGTTCCGTGACTGACATACTGTCGCTACGGAGAAAGGCTCTCTGTGAGGGAAAGAAACATAAGACAATTTCTAGAATCTATTTATGTTGTTGTTACTTATCTCACTTGTCTGACAGTAACATAAGAACAAGCTCACGAAAATACTCGTGGCAAGAAGTGCAAGATTGTCTTTGGCAAGAGCCTTGAGCACCATACCAGGAGAATCTATTTCTAGAGCATTTATGAAACTATAAACAAAATTAACTGTTAACAAAGTCGAGAGTGTTTAGATTGCGTACCTCTGTGCAATTTTATATGGAGGAGAAATAAACCAATGTAAAATGCAAAATTAGGAAACAAACAAACAAAAAAAATTTTGATTTAACTTCTTTGTCGTCCGTAACGCGTCTAGCGCGTTCAAATGAAACTTCTGCAGGGCGGCCGTAACGCGCCTCAACTGTTCTTCTACTACATTTTAAAACTTTTAAACGGTTAAAACGCTTTCTAAATGTTTACTTGTTTGAGTTTTTATTTTTGTTTGTTCTAATACCTCCTAGAGGATAGCACTAATCAGGCATTCTATTTCTAATTGAATTTGCGCCAGGTTTTATGAATATTCGCGCCATTTTACATAAGATACAAGACAGTGGGAGATGGCTTCAGCAACTACTCAGCAGAAAAAGAGAAAAAATGAGGTTGTGAACTGGAAAGACAAGAAGGATAAGACAAGATATACGTTTGATGAGTACAGTCCATAATATTTCGATGATTGATGTTTGAACATGGAAAAGAACTGTAAAAAAAAAAAAAAAAAAAAAAAAAAACCAATAATTGTAAAAGATTACAACAACAAAATGGGAGAAGTGGACCGCCTGGATCATATGTTATCAAATTATCCTGCTTTTAGAAATAAGCAGAGATATTATTATTTTTACGTTATAACTTTACTTACTATTCATTGAAATTCATCCACTACGAAAGTCATGTACGGAAAGTTATGATGTACAGAGAAAACAACACGCTACGAAAAACAGACGGCCGCTGGGGGGAAATTTTCGCGGACAGGAGAGGACGGCGAAACTTAAAGCAGACGTTAATCGAACCCGAGGATAGCTTACGTCCACTCGTTTCCATCCTTTTTTCGAAGAAGAAAGATTTACGGCTATCGTCTACCTTAATTTTAATTAACAAGTTTCGCCAACTTAAATTTTTGTTTTGCTCTAATTTTATATTTAGATTTCTATTACAAGGTAAATATCTTCTTGTACTTCGACATTTGGCTGCAAGACACTCTTAAAAGAACTCCTACTTGGGCTTTTAAAATCAAGAAGCGTGGCAAGTTCACAGCTTTCATGATTTTTTTTTGCAAGACTGAGATGTTGCTTAGTATTAAAACTCTTCTATTGTGTGAAAGATATCGCTTCAAAAATCCTTTACAGTAATAGTGAGAACCAGAATGCTAGTTGAAAATGACAGGCATAAAATTGCATCGATGCATTATTAGCAACAAAACAGATTGCTTATGCTTTGGGATCTATAGTAAATTTCATTGAAATTTATTTAAAGAACATTGCATTCATTCTAACTGAAGATATTTAGTAAAACAGCAAACTTCTCTAAATACAATTAAATGAAAACATAGCATACAATACAAAGGAAACAATGTAGGTAACGGTATACAAAGATAAAGAACTATTGTACATACATTGCAATCAGCTTACCTTTATCTTTTAGGTATTCTAAAATATAATGTTCAGTCAAGCATTACAGGTCCTTCTTTGATTAAACATCTCCATACAGAATTTCTATTAATCTGTTTTGGCTTTAATCTAGATTATAGACGCTACTGTATTAAACAATTAATGCAAGGGATAACTCATGATATACATACATGTTATGTATCACATTATATGTTGCAAACATAATGAAGGCTTTTACTCATGGTATTTATATTTACTGCATATCTAAAATTATGTGTTCTTTTTTTATGAAAATAAAGCTTCTTTTTCCATTTCATAGGAGCTTGGATCAAAAAATAATTATCCTATGGTGGTAAGTTCATTTAAATATTTTTAATACATGTATACCTTGAATGAAAATGGGACAGTTCTATTTCTCCCTTTCTACTGGGCCGATGGACGAGATTTAACTAGCGTTTTTCATGTCTCGAAACCGCGAATTAGAATGTATATTAGATCTGTATATACCATTGTTTTGACATAGTTAATTTGACACAAAATTAAACTTTTTCTGAAGTAATATATCGAATCTACGACTCAAATTATGCCTGAATATTAAATATTATTAAATTTGGTGAGGAACTTAGCGAGAAATTTTAAAATTTGTCTGGGTGCATTTTTTCAGTTTGCGCCAAGAATAATTCACTTGGTGAAATTCTTAGATTATTTTAACCAATTTTCCTTTCCTTTTCACGAGCGAAATAAAAGGCGCATTCTTCATTCTTTCAAATAATTTTAACAAAGTGCGTAAACCATATTTTGCGTTATTATCGTTTATAACAAATTTCAAAAGGCACCAATACATAAATTAGCGTATACCTTTGGAAACTTTGCATACGAAATTCTAATTCCCCCCCCCCCTGGTGTGCCTAGAAATACATCTACTTTACGATGATGGCAAAAATTTTATGTTATAATTCAAAAACGTTTTCGAAAAATTTATAAAATTACTAAAAAATACAGATTTAAAAAACAAATCAAGGAATAGCTGTGAATTTTGTTTGGGTTGAACTTAAATTTCGAATTTTGAAAGAAGGAATACAGTTAGTTTAATAAAAAAAAAGAGATATTGAAAAATAGATACCAAATTCAATTAATACTGAGGAGCTAAAACTTCGAGGTTTTTACAAAACTACTCGTGATTTTTACAATTTATTGGTATTTAGGCATAATTTTGAGTCGTAGAATCGAAATACAGAAGAAAAAGGCATGGCGTTTCAGAAAAAGTCTGATTTTGTGTCAAAATACTTAAGTTATAATAATACTGAATTATAAATACTTAAGTTATAATAATATAATCCTCAGTTAATATACATCCTAAGTTGTGCTTTCGAGACATGAAAAACGCAAGTTAAATTTTATCAATCGGCTCAGCAGAACGTGAGATATAGAACTGTCCACCTTTTTCTGTGAAAGTTGCACTTGTTGCAAGATACACACACTGGCCAATGAATTAGAAACCCAAGATCAATATTTTATTGGACCACCTTTTGCACGTATAACTGTTGTGATTCGTTTGGGCTTCGAGTCTGCATACTTCTGGAATGCATTTACGTCCAGAGAGTGCCGTGCCACGCATTGGCTATGCAGCTTTTTAGATTTTGTAAATTAACTAGAAGAAGAGAATGCTGTTTCACGCGTCTTTTCACCCTATCCCAAAATCTTCTATGGGGTTAAGATTTGGACTATGCGGTGACCAGAGAAGGTGTTGGAAGTCAGATTGATGTTCAGCGAACCAAGTTTGATGCAAATGATGAAAATGCAAAATTGCAGGGTGCACTTGATCTGTCAGCATAGCTAGGTATCTCATGGCTGTTTGCTTTCCCTCGAGGAATACCAGGGCACCACTTCCATGCCAGCAGAACATGATACTCCCACCAGACCCTTGCGCAGTGTGAGTAAGGCAAGATGGATCCATGGTTTCGTGGCGTTTTCGACAACTTCAACGTCTTCCATCAGGGCAAAATAAGGAGTAGCGTGATTCATCCGATCTTATTACCCGTTTCCAATCCTCAGTTATCCAGTGACTTCTATCCCGAAACCACTCCAAACGAATTCTTGCATATCGGGCAGAAATGAGTGGTTTTCTCAAAAGCACTTGACTATGCATTCCTATCCTCTGCAATTCTCTGCGCATAGTTTGAGCTGAAATCTGGTGAGAAAAGCCTTGGTTGACGATCTGTGTCAGTTGAAGCATAGTAGAGTCAAAGTTCTGCCGTGGAATTCGACGGAGATTACGCCGAACACTCTCTTGGAAAACTGTGCTCGAACCGCAGTTACGTCCTCTAGAAAAGGACTATGGATTCTGATTCCAACTTTTGAAACCTTTTTATATGGCTGCTTTTGAGAACCGAGTGAGATTTCCTGTCTTCGAAACCCAGGCCCCTTCTAAACGGGCACCAACAATAAGCTCTTTCTCAAGTGGTGAAAGATCTGCCTTTTTCCCATTTTACTTCATTCATCGTGAAAAGCACTTCTATACCTTATAAGGTATTTCTTCCGTCTTCTTAGCAGGCCTTCATGGTGTAGTGCTCAGCACACGCGGCGCGTATTCGAGAGGTCCGTGGCTTGAGTCCCGGCGAGGGCATTGCTAATTTTTCATGTATCCTGCTTTAAAAAATACTTAATGTCTCTACAACCTTACTTATACTAGCATTCTAACCAGGTGTAACCGACGTCTTAAAAAATTGCATACTTCATCCCTAGCAGGCATTCAAATGAAAATCTCAAAGGTTTCTAATTCATTAGAAAGATAGTGTGTAGTTAGATTTTATTGACGGGGTAATGATGAATGAAACTTTTGTTTAATAAATTGCAACAATGAGGAGAGAATTCGGCGATATTATATTTACAAAGGCATTATAATCACATATGTTTCCAAAATGTTCATCTTATAACATTAAAAATAATAGCAATAATAATGAAATCAAGGTTTCCTGAGATCTTTCTTTCTTAGCACATATTTCGGAACTGAATCTTAAGCTTCCAAAATGTGTAGTATCTTTATTCCGCTTTCCAGTTAACGGCGTCTATTTGTAATTGCTTTTCTCACCACGTCAGCAACAAAAACTCTTTCTGCGACATTTTCTTCAAAAACGCCTTTAGAAACTCGTGGAATTTCATATTTTAGAAAATTTTCCTCGTTATCATTTTAATTTCGAGTAGAGTTTGTAGATTGTTTCCACATGAATCAAGGCAACTGTGAATCACGGCAATATTCAAATTCTCGTAAACCCGAATCGCTGCAAGTCATCGGAACGTCCAAAACATCTGTCTGAATTTGGGATTCAAAATCAGCGGAGTCATCGAATGAGTTGTGCCCCTACAATGGCTCCTTCCAATGGTTGCACAATAATTATTCTCACATACCAATAATTTTACATTGGATTACGCCTAAACTCTAGAGCTCATTAAAAGCGTAGTTTACCATCTGAACTTTGTCCTGCAAAACAATGCATATTGGCAACAGAGAAGCGTAAATGCAAACTGCTTTTTGATAGTATTCTCTCTTTGTCCTTTAGAAAGGGTATTCAATACACATTAACTGAAATTTCATCAGCTACAAATCAAAACTCTTTCTTTCGCATGCAAATACATATGGCAATTATATCTATGTCTACAAGTTAAAAAGATTTTTTTTTGTGTGTGGCATAAATGATATGTTATCAGTCTGATGCAGGTCACATATCTAACGGGGTTGATTTAAGGCACCATTATAGAGTAAAAGAAAATAATTCCGTACCTATGCCATTCGATCATCCCTTCTGGGCATGAATAAAAACTATACAACTTTAAAACTTTCGATATAAAGTTCTATTGAAATTTAGAACCTATATAATATTCTGTTATAATTCTGAAGGCAGTAAAATTGCAAAAAATTGTGCTTTCATTTAGTTCTTCGATCTTCTTGCTTTAAAATAGATTGTAAACTTCAGTTTTAAATTCTAGGCATATTTTTCGATATTTTACACTCTTCTGATGAATTTGATCAGCGTAGTAGTTATTATTTATTTTTTGCTTATTTCCCGTTTAAAGTATTCACATTCGCATTTTTTTTTTACCTGAACAGCTCTACTGCATTAATATCGAAAAGAGGGAAATTTTGTAACTAGGCTTTCCAAGGTCGTATTTTTATCTGAGATTTTAACAATATAGTCAGTCCAAAATTACGTTAAATGCAATGAAAAAAATCATAACCAAATAATGCATAAACATGGAGCCCTTGAAATGCTGCCACTTTAGGCTACTGAAAGATATTTCGAATGTCACATTCAATAAGTTAAGAAAATGAATTTAATAAGTTACATTTTCCATTTGGTTAATCTTGTAATGAAGATGCAATGAAGATTGATACGCATGCTACCATATACGCATATATAAATGAATAATTACAAAATATAAAACGGTTCAACATCTAATCAAATTGCGCGCTGATAGGAGCAACAAGTGGGAGTAATAATGCAAATTAAAATAAAAAATAAGTTTAAATTTATACATAATCAAATCGGAATAAATCATGCAAAAAAACCAAAAAAAAAAAAAAAAAAAAAAAAAAAACAGAACACAGCGGCAAATTGCAAGAAATAGGAAAGGGGCTCTCTATCTATATAAATGTTGGAAAAAAATATATTTTTAGAAATTTAAAAATTAAGATATATATTATTTTCTTGTTTGCTACGAAATTAATTAAACAATCAAGATATAAAAACTAAATCAAAAATGTTAATAGTAAGAAAATAGTAAGAAAGTACATCAAAACTGAAGCAAAAATAAAACAATTCCTAAAATTAGGTAACAAAAATAATAAAACGATTAGATGAAAATTACTTGGTCTTTTTCAAAGAGAATCCAAAGAATTTTGAACATAGACACTTTTTTGAATTACATCTGGACGATTATAAATTCATGAAATAAGTCAAAAGTAAGTGCCAAATAAAAGCAAGTTAAATTATTCAAAATAATTACTTAAGGCTATTAAAACCTTGGTACTTAAATATTATTGTAAACACCTTGGAGCAGTTAGGCGGTGTTCCGCTGATGATATATAAATAATGTTTATCCGCAAAAATAAACATTATTTATCGGTGCATGTCAGCGATTTTCGAGAAATAAAAAAAAAAATCCTAAGTTATCGACATTTACTTTAGGTAGGCAAACGTTACCAACATATCAAAAGAAAAAAAATTAAAATACAAATTTCAATTATTAAATAAAGATATTATATGATACATTGAAAAAAAAAAACACACACACATTTTCGCGAAGTCTAATATTTAGCGCTGTTTTTTCTCTCCACATACACAGCGATCTGTT